CTGGGCTGGAGAATTTAAGTGGAATTTCCATTTAGGGGACAATTAAGTGCAATTACCGTTTGTTAAATGTTTTATATGCATTAACTTAAACTTCACAAACTATTTAGGAAAATGATTTGTCCCACTTTGCAGACTAGGAAATGGCAACTTGGAGAAGTGAGAAGTTAAGTTACCCAAGACCACATACCTAGCAGGTGTGGAGCTGAGCTTTAAATCCAGGTCTCTGAATTCAGAGTACATTGTAAATTCTGCTCAGCCTTGTCAAATTGCCTTCAACTGACTTGTGAGAGTGATTTTATATATATATATATATATATATGTGTGTGTGTGTGTGTATATATATATATATATACACACACACACACACACACACACACACACACATACATACATGCTATTTGTGTTTCTCTTTTGGGGGAGTTTCCTTTGTTGTTGTTTTTTTCCTTTGAGTTTCTCTATTTTTCACGGGTTAAGAAATATAGTTGAAGTTTGGAACTTTTAGAAGACAAAAAAAAAAAAGGCAAAGTGCTAGTTGTCCCTATGCAAGTTTTACTCAGCTTTTTTTCTGTGACATATTTCTTTTCTTTTTTAAATGTTTGTTGAGAATATTACAGATGTCCCTTCTTCTCCTCCCCATTGCCCCGTTCTCCTGGGTCTCGGCCCGCCCTAGGCTTTCACCACCCTATTGTCTATGTCCATTGGTAATGCATATATATACATAAGTCCTTTGGTTAATCTCCCTTCCCTCTTCCCTCTGAGATTTATCAATCTGTTCCATGTTTCCATGCCTCTGGTTCTATTTTGTTAATAAGTTTATTTTGTTAACTAGATTCCTTATTCATTTATTTTGATTATTAGATTTAATTGTTGATAGATATATATTGTCATTTTATTGTTCATATTTTTTGTCTTTTTTCTTCTTCCTCCTCCTCCTCTTTTTTTTTTTTTTTTTGCAATTTTATCACATCAGCAATTTATTCAGTAATTTATTTTAAATTCTTTTGTATGGCATAGGTAATTTATTAGGATTGTTTTCTGTTTGTAACTTTAAAACATAAGATAGTTAGAAATGGATATGTTAACATTTTTATATGCTTTAGAGTAACAAGAAAGATAACAAAAATAGTTCTTGGAGCTCTAAGACAAACCACTTCTGGTAACAACATTGTGCAAAGATACTATAACCGTTGTAACGAAAAGAATTACATTTTCTCACATATGAGTTATTTCTATACAATTTCTTTTAAAATGCAGTATTAAAATAACCACTCCTTTGAACTTACAGGCCTACTTTTCTATGCTTATTGTTTTCTAACATATTTTTAAAGTCAGTATTAGCATATAATTATCGTGTCATATTTTGTTTTCTTTATACATTTTCTTAAATTTCTACCTACATGTTTTCAAAATGTAGAGACAATTTTTTTTAATCCTCACCTAAGGATATGTTTTTTAAGTTATTTTAGAGAAAGAGGAAGGTAGAGGGAGAGAGAAGAGAAAAGAAAGGAGGGAGAGAAGAGAGAGACAGAGACAGAGAGAGAGAGAGAGAGAGAGAGAGAGGAAAAAAAACTCTCATAGGTTCACCAACTCGGGATCCATCCTGAAATTTTGGTATGCTTCCTGACTAGGAATCAAACCTGCAACCTTTTGGTGTATGGGAAGATGTTCCAACCAGCTACTGGCCAGGGTGGAGACAAACACTTTTAGAATCTACTACAGTATCTGTGTCTTCCATTGAGCAACAAGAAAAGATGACAGAAAATTCATAGGGGTTAATACGATGATAATAACAAAAATACTTAAACTCAGAAGCCAGTGGTTTTCTGCAGCATGTTAAAAAGTTGGTTTGCATTACTTTACATTTACATGAGGCTCGACAGTACAGCACATGCAAAGTATCATCTCATTTAATTCTTATAACTACCAAATGGCATATTTATTTATTTATTTATTTTTTAAATCAATCTTTATTGTTCATATTATTACAAAGGTTCCTCATTTCTTCCCCCCTCCACCAGGTTCCCACCCCACCCTCCACCCCTCCCCATCCCCCATTGTCCTCATTCATAGGTGCACAGTTTATGTTCAGTCTCTTCCTCCCTCCTTTCCCCAATAGTAAATCCCTTTTCAGATAGTAAATCAGTTACTTAGCATTTTCTCATATCAATAATATCTCCACATACCCAATGATACACTTCACACAAAAGACATTTCCAAATAGGTCAACTAGCCTCATCCAGGCCCCACCCAAGGCACTCACAGATCAACACCCCCGCCCTATACTAACTCAACACATCCAGATCTAAGCCATCATCACTTGATTCAGCAGACCCTCAAGTTCCCGCAAAAGTTTCCAGACATGTCTGAGAGACAGCCGTGGGGCAGGGGCAGGGGCAGGCGCAGGCGAGGAGCGAGCTGTTCCGGGCCTGGCCGCACCCGACCCGGATGCTCTGGACTTGGCTACTGCTGTTCTGGGTCTGGCTGCTCCCACCCCGGCTGCTTGGGGCCCGGCCACTCCGGGTCTGGGTGTTCCTGGACTGGCCACCCTGGGCTTGGCTGCCTCCGCCTCAGGCCTGGCTGCCACTGCCCCAGGTCTGGCTGCTCCAATGCTGGCTGTTGATGCTCTGGTTCTGGCTGCTGCTGCTCTGCGGCCTGGCTGTTGCTGCTCCGGGCCCGGCTGCCACTGCCTTGTGCCTGGCCACTCTAGGCCTAGCCGCCGCTGTTCCAACATTCTGTCCTTTTTTTTTTTTTTTTTTTTTTTTTTTTTTTTTAAACGCATTTATGTTGCAATGTTGGCTGGTGAGTTGAGTTCTGACTTAGTCTTTGATTTTTCAAGATCTTCTTTGTATTCTTTCTTAAGTAATTTTACTGTCTTTTGCTCTTACTTGATTTCTTCACATTGAGAACTTCGGTTTCTTCCTCCTTGTCCTGGGAGCTCAGCAGGTTGGCCTGTGGCACCCCTTTGTTCTCCGCGGGCTCCTGCGCTGCTTCAGCCTGTTGCTGGGGTCAGCGCCGCCCAGGAAGCAGTCCCCGGCCTTGGCTCCGTTGCCCGCGCTCAGCGGTCGAAGGCTCAGCGGTTCTTCTCCCCCCTCCCCCCTTGGCGCACCCCCCCCCCCCCCCCCCCCCCCCCCCCCCCGTCGCCGGGCTCCTTGCTGGTGCCCGGCTGGCTGGTGTCCGGCAGGGGCTCCTGCTCCTCGTCGCGTTCCTCCAGTCTGGAGCTTTTTTTCTTCTTCCCGCTAGGGGAGTCCAGCATCAGAGTCAACAGACTGTCCTCTAAGCGCAGTGTGCGCGACTCTGGGAGCTCCGCTTTTCGCCGCTCCCCTGGGATTCCGCTTCACGGCCCCGTCTCCCCCTGCCTGAGCCTGGGTCCCCAGGGTCTGGCCTAGGACTGGGGTTCAGAGCAGTCGAAACGGGGGCCTTGAACGGGGGCCCAAGGCCGGGGCTCCTGTTTCCTTCCCTCCAGGGCAATCCCGCATCAGAGTCAACATTCCTTCCCTTGCAAGCAATGTGCGCGACTCTGGGGGCTCGGCCTTTCGACGCTCTCCCAGGACAGCCCCGTCTCCCTCTGCTTGAGCTTGGGTCCCCAGGGATTGGCCTAGAACTGGGGTTCGGAGCAGTCCGGACTGAGGCTCAGCGCCGCCGGAGGCTTTGTTTCTTCCGGCTAGGGTAATCCAGCATCAGAGTCAACATTCAGTCCTCTGCGCGCAATGTGCGCGCGAATCCGGGGGCCCTGCTTTTCACTGCTCCCTTGGGATTCTGCCTCACAGCCCCGTCTCCCCCTGCCGGAGCCTGGGTCCCTAGGGTCTGGTCCATAACGGGTTCAGCGCTGCCGGTTCGGGGGTTCAGCCCAGGCTGGGGGTTTATTTCCTTCCTGCTAGGGAACGCCAGGCAGCACCAAGCCCTCTCCTCCTCTCTGGCTGCGACCTGTCCGTGCAGGCGGGCGGGCGCGCGCGCGCACAGCATGTCTCCGTACCTTAGGCTTTTTTTTCAGCTCCTTTGATTTTCCTTCTGGTTTTCTCTTTCCTTCTTGTTGTAGAATTTTCAGTCAGTCGACTACCTGTAGCTCTGGGCAATGTCCACTCTACATTTTAGTTGTATTCCATTGAAATTGTTGTGTGCTGCTGTGGTTAGATGTCTACCCGAGCAGCCATCTTGGATCCTCCCCTCCTCCTCTTCTTAAAGAATACCCTTCAACATTTCATGTGCTATTGATTTGGTGGTGATGAACTTCTTTAGTTTTTTCTTGTCTATGAAGCTCTTTTTCTGACCTTCAATTCTAAATGATAGCTTTGCTGGATAGAGTAATCTTGGGTTGTAGGTCCTTGCTATTCATCACTTTGAATATCTCTTGCCACTCCCTTCTGGCCTGCATAGTTTCTTTTGAGAAATTAGCTGACAATCCTTTTGGCACACCCTTGCTTTTCTCTTGTTGCTTTTAAGATTATCACTTTGTCTTTAATCCTTATTTTACTTATGATGTGTCTTGATGTGGCCCTCTTTGGGTTCATATTGTTTGGGACTCTCAGTGCTTCCTGGACTTAGAAGTCTTGTTTCTTTCACCAGGTAGGGGAAGTTTTCTGTTATTTTTTGAAATAAGTTTTCGATTTCTAGTTTCCTCTCTTCTCCTTCTGGCCACCCCATGATATGAATGTTGGTAAGAATAAGCATATTTCTATGCACATGTATAATAGAAGTTCTTCCACATACAAAGGTAAATAATATCTGGATTACCATAGTGCCTGCTAATGCTCACAGACTATTTCTGTTAGCGTGTGAGTATTTCAATACCTCACTGGGGTATTGAAAAATAATTAATTAATTCTTTTTATTTCTTCTTCAGGTTTGCCTGTGATGAGATTTCATTCTCTACAGTTAAAGGACATCCTTTCTGAGCTCTGTGAATAAATTTGGAATGATACTGTATATTTTCATCTAATGGAGGATTAGCTGTACTTTGAATAAGGATTGCTGTACTGGACAACTTCAGAAAATTACTCACAATGTCATCGAACAGGAGTCAGAATCCCCATGGACTGAAGCAGATTGGCCTTGACCAGATCTGGGACGACCTCAGAGCGGGAATCCAGCAGGTGTATACCAGACAGAGTATGGCAAAATCCAGATACATGGAGCTCTACACGTATCCTGCCACCTGCATTGAGAGCTATTTGCTTAGAAACCTGTTTACTAATATGATCTGAGAATTATTAGAAATTTGACATGTTTTCTGTTCCATTTCGACCTGTGATATAATCATGAGTTCATTTTTAGCTTTAAATTTAACTCAAGTCTTTTGAACAGAGGTAATATTTGGCTGGTTGGTAGCCTAAAACTGGCTGTTCAGTACAGTGGCTACAAGCTACACCTGGCTATATTTCAAGTCATTTAAATTATGTAATTAAAAATTTAGTTTTGCCCTACCCGGTTTGGCTCAGTGAATAGAGTGTTGGCCTGCAAACTGCAGGGTCCCAGGTTCGATTCCAGTCAAGGGCATGTACCTTGGTTGCAGGCACATCCCCAGTAGGGGGTGTGCAGGAGGCAGCTGAGCAGTGTTTCTCTCTCATTGATGTTTCTAACTCTCTATCCGTCTCTTCCTCTGTAAAAAATCAATAAAATATATTTTTTTAAATAAAAAAAATAAAAAATCAGTAACATATATATTTTTTTAAGTTTAGTTTTTATGTAGTAGTAGCATTTTTAAAAATGTTCTTATTGATTTTAGAGAGAGGGATAGAGAAATAGAAGCATCAGTGAGAGAGATTACATAGAAAGATTGATCTATCTCTTGCACAACCCTCCATGGGAATCAAGCCTACAACCTGGGCATGTGCCCTGACCAGGAAGGAAACCAGTGACCTCTTGGTTGATGTTCAACCATGGAGCCACACTGGCCGGGTGCAGTAGCTGTATTTCAAGTGCTCTGTGGATAGTAGACTACTTCCCTCATGGCAGAAAGTTTTGTTGGACAGTGCTGGGGGGAGTGGGTGGTTTCCATGTTACTTGTGGTTGCTTTCTTGCTATAGATGGAGCATTGTTGGATAGTTCATCAAAAATTATCTGGTCCACAAAACTGACAACATTTACTCTCTGGCTAAGAAGTATTTCACTCATTCATTCCGTAGTGCCGTATGCTATGCAGATTATGTGGAGTGGGGGATAAAAGATGTAGCTCCCATTCTCCACTATATGTTAAAGGATAGATTATTTTACTTGTCATCTCTTGATGCCGTTAAAGTAAAAGAAATTGAAATATAAGTTAACTTACTAGAGAGCAGATTGCTACTGATTTGCTGGTTCTAGAAGTTTGAAGTTTCTAGTGTAATGGATATTTAATTTTGTCATTAATATGTATCAATGATTATCAAACTTGGTTACATGATATTCCAGGATACCCACAACTCTGCTAATATTTTAGAATCTAAAAAATTTTTATATTAATTTAAATAGGTACAAAACTATATGTTTCTCTCTAAATTTAAATTTTATTATAGGTGTGTACACTCATGTGTATATGCATACACTTCTGTAGAATATTTTTTAAATATAACAACTTTATTGAGTATCATTTACATACTATAAAATCACCCTTTTTAAAAAGTGTACAATGCAGCGGTGTTTAGTATATTCATAGTTGTGCTACCATAAACATTTTCTAATTTTGAACATTTTATCACCCCCAAAAGAAACTGTGTACCCATTGACAGTCATCTCCATTCTCTCCTTCCCCAGCCTCTGGCAACCCCTGATCTACTTTCTGTCTCTAAGAATTTGCCTGTTCTGGATGCTTCATGTAAATGGAATCACACAGGATGTGGCTTTTCATGACTGGCTTAATGCACTCAGGGTAATAACATTTCCAGGCTCATCCTTTTTGTAGCAGGGTTGGTGCTTCATTTGTTCTAATGGCTAAATTGTGTGAACATGATGCATGTTGTTTTCCATTCATCAGTGAGGGATATCTGGTCGTGTCCACTCTGGGCTGTGAGGAACAATGTGGCTATTAGGAATATTGCATGAATTTTTGTGTGCACCTGTATTTTCATTTTTCTTGGGTACATACATACCTAGGAGTGGGATTGCTAGATCATATAATACAGAGAACACTTTTAAGCAGGATAGAATCTTTGCAAATGAGAAGATATTATTTCACTCAAGGGGGTTGTGGCCTTCTGGGTATGACAGTTTTTTGTGTGTGTGGTTTTTTTGTTTGTTTGTTTGTTTGTTTTTGTAGTACAGCTGAAGATGTGATTCCAGAGATGAGACAAGGCACTTGGTTGGATTTCTGGCTTGTAAAACAAACAAAATGGGAGTATTAATGTGGAGATCAAGGAATTTTTATTGTCTCTAGGGAATTTCTTAATGTGTAATTTTTTACTAAATCAGATTGGTCTTTTACCCAATAAGATGTTTTGCTCTTAGAATTCTCTTTAAGAAAGTAGAGACTTTATTTACTTGCAGCAATTACTTAATTCTTTTACTCTAAAAGTAATTATAATTTGTAGTTCTGATAACTATAATTTTATTTATTTACTTTTCATTTTTTAAAGGTATTATATGTGTACATATCTTACCATTGCCTCCCTCATAACTATAATTTTAAATATTTTAGGAATGATGCTCTTAAGTTGAGTCTTTTTTTTTTTTTTTTTTGCCTTCTTCCTGTTTGGTTTAAGACAATAACAGTTACATAAATTAAGAGTAGAGAATCTAACTTTAAATCTTAAGATATTATTTATGAAATCATAGCCACAGTTTGGATCCTGTGTTGTCAGGCATTGTGCTAGGGACCATCTACATCTTATTTAAGGCTTAAATCACCCAGGAAAGCTGGTGTAGTAGCCCTTGGTGTGAGAAATCTGGTCTCCAAAACCTCAAGTAACTCACCTAATTGTTGTAACAACTACTGATAAATGATGATGCCAGAACTAAAATTCTTAGTAGTCTAAATGTAGAAACTGCCTTTTATCTCCTATATGCCTCAGGATTTGTATTTGGAGGAATCACATTTATGAAAGTGTTTTCTGTATTTTCCTTATGAAGTTCCAAAGAAGGGTGTTTTGATCAACACTTTATTTTTTTTTTTTAAAATTTATTGATTTCAGAGAGGAAGGGAGAGGGAGAAAGAGATAAAAACATCAATGATGATTCAAAATCATTGATCAGCTGCCTCCTGTCTCCTGCATTCCCCACACTGGAGATAGCCTGTAACCGGGGCATGTGCCCTTACTGGGAATTGAACCGTGACCTCCTGGTTCATAGGTCGACATTCAACCACTGAGCCACGTCGACCAGGCTGATCAACTCTTAATATATTAACTTGTAGGATACAGATGAAATAGTAGAATGTCTACTTGTATTTATTAATCTGATTATTGAAATCCAAGGAATGAACTACTTTCACCTGCATTTTTAGTATTAGTTATTGTCATAAATAGAACTTTGAGTCATCTGATACATTTTTCAAGAGCACATCTTAACTTTCATTAAAGTCATTTTAATATATATAGTACTTCCTGAGATTATGTGTTGCTATGACTGCAGTTTTATCCCAGCTCCGTTTGCATAACAGTTTTGTTTTTTAAGTTATTTTCTTCCATGGGTATATTCAGTCTCCCACAGACCCACTTAACTGTAGCGCTCTTTAAAATACTTTCCAGTAGGCTGGTTTACAGTGACATCTGACACATGGGATTGTGAGGTTAAGTTTCAGGTTAAGAGGCACTTTTGGTCCTGTGAAGAAGGAGCAGACTGCACCTCACTGTTCTGGGCTTACTCTTGAAAGGGTGAAGAACCTTATTGAGCAAGAGTGGGTTGGAAAACTGGTAGATTAGATTAGGACAATCTAATAAAGCTAATTTGTTCACTTTTATTTATCCTGGAGATAGGCCTGCCATGTTTTCTAGAGAAAGGAACCTACTTGTAGATGTGAAGTGACATTCTTAGAGCCCTTAGGAACCTGTGGAGTATATGGTTGCTGTAATATGATGATGGGCTGTTACGCAGCATAAAAGGTTTTCTTTTTTTCCAACTCAGGATGGCAAAGGAAAGAGAAGGGAATTCAGAGAAAGAAAAGATCTCAGAGCATCTGCAGTCAGAAGAATCTAGTTCAGTTTCCTTTGTTTCCAGCCACATCGCAGAAGCTTCATTTTCTACTGAAGTTTCAGCCTTGAGCCCTTGCTTCCACCTCTGTGTCTTGTTGAGCACTTCCATGTGGTTCCAGTATCCTGGGATGTCCCACATGCATATATATAGTTACAATGCAACGAGGATTTTTCTTTCTGCAGTAAAGTACAAGAGCTCTCCTACCCAGTATTCCTAGATAGTAGTAAGTTTTCTTTTTTTTAAACTTGAAATAGAAAAAAAATTCTTATCAATTTGTGGGCACCATTATGTTTCCTGTGTTGTGCCTGGCTCAGAGGACAGGCCAAGATCCTGCTAGTGAAACAGGCACTTAGGAAGGGAATGTTATGCAAGATGAGGGTCCCTATGGCATAGCCAACAGATTCAGTCTCATCTAGTCTAGGCTTAGGCTGTCTGATTGAAGTTTCTCTTTGTTTTTTGTGAGGCCCCAGGTCTACTTTCCCTCACTTCTAGGTCAAAATCTTTCTTTCTTTTTTTCTTTTTTCTTTTTTTTCTTTTTCTGCTGTCATTATACACCTCAAACTATCATTTTAGTTTCCCTAGGAATCAATTTAAACTTTCATGTTGAAGTCTATTTTTCTGTCTGCGTAAGTTCTCATAAATTTTAGAGTTTCTGTTTTTCTCCCTGTAGTTCTGTGAGCTGAATTAGTTCATTCCATTTTCTTCAAAAGGGCCTATTTTTTCAAAATCTTTTCCTCCAGTTTGGTGAAGGAGAGGTGGGAGAGGGGAGGAGAAGGTCAGTGGGGAGAAAAAAAGGAACAGCTGCGATACTTTCTTAATTTTTTTAAAAACATATTTTATTTATTTTTTTTACAGAGAGGAAGGGAGAGAGAGAGCCAGAAACATCAATGAGAGAGAGTCATTGATCAGCTGCCTCCTGCACGCCCCCCAATGGGAACATGCCCGCAACCAAGGTACATGCCCTTGACTGGAATCGAATCCGGGACCCTTCAGTCCGCAGGTGATGCTCTATCCACTGAGCCAAACCAGTTTCGGCAG